TTCGGGATGCTGAGGTCAGGAGACTGAGTGAGCCTGAGCTCTAGGATGATAACCTGGTCTCTGAACAAATACACCTTCAAAAAGCAGGCCAGTCGGGCGCCAGTGGCTCACGCCTGTCATCCTAGCTACTCAGGAGGCTGAGATCTGAGGATCGCGGTTCAAAGCCAGCCTGGGCGGGAAAGTCTATGAGGCTCTTCCTCTTCAAGGAACACACCGAACGCTCGGAAGTGGCTCAGAGTGTTAGAGCGCTAACCCTTGAGCGACAGAGTTAGGGACAATGCCCACGCTGTGAGTTCAAGCCCCATGACTGACAGAAAAGAAAGCGAGCAAAGAAGGGAGACATGAGAAAGTTGGGGGGGGGGAGGGGGAGACCCGGGCCGCGTGGAGCAGTTCCCACCGTGGCCTCTAGGTGGCGGCACAGGTCCGTGCCATTGACCAGCACGGTGATCATATGTGGTTCAAGGTGGTGGTTCTGGGGCACTGGGGGCTCTCGGGGCAGGGTGGGGGTGTGTGTGGGGGTGTCTGTCTGTGTGTACCCGGTTCCAGCTCCTACATTCTGACCCTCCCTCCACGATCAAGCTGGAAAGTGGCCTCCAGATTAGGGAGGGGGTGGCACGCACTAGTAACCCCACCATCTGGGAGGCTGAGGAAGGAGGATCTGAGTTGGAGGTCGAGCTGCAGTCAAACGCTCTGCGTAACCCCCCCCCACCCCGAAATCCGCCCGATGCATAATCACGCAGGGAGAGTCTGTCCCCACTGCTGTGTGTTTAGGAAAACGGATGGATTTAATTTTTTTATCAGCCAAAGGAGGAAAATGTAATCTTTCTGAACGTCTCTAATATAACAAAGCAGCATAATTAGTTTCTCTGGAAACAGGCAGAATGTTCAAGAATAATAAATCACTTGCTCCTTCCGCACCTTCCCTTGGATGGAGAGAGATTTCCCTCCTGTGGGGCTGGGAACAGGACAGGCTGTGGAAGTTTAAGCCCCAGGACTGGCCAAAGAAAACCCCCTTGAAAAAACCTTTATTGGAAGTGGGCTAGACGGGTGGTGCGGCCTTAGTCCTGGGAAAGACAAGACTCCAGCCAGGCTGGGATTCGAACTCAGGACAGGATGTCAGCTCTGCCCCCTCTCCATGGGTGTGGGATGAGGGGACTCTGTTCTTCCACACTTCACTCCCTTTGCTCTTGCCTTCTAAGATGCCCCCCCACATTGCCCTGCGGGTAGGAACAGGACTCTGGGGGGCTCTGGGGTGCCTGGAAGGGGGGGGTGCAGCTCGTGAGGCGGGGCGGGGCGGGCAACAGCTGTTCCCTGCGCAGAAGCTATTTGATAATATTGCCAGAGCTTTTACCACAATCCCATTTCTGCAGAATCTTCCGGGCTAATTGGAGCTGTCTCTTTCTTATTAAACAGAAAGGTGATAAAAATGTGTGTGGAGGGTTGAAGAGCGGTACCTCTTGGCTGCTCTGATTGTTATGACAAGGAGAATATTCCAGAAGCCCTGTGCGGCAGCGGTGGGCTGGGAGGGACAAGAGTCTTGGGGTGGGACTGGGCCAGGTGGAAGGGGAGTGGGGAGGGGTGGGGAGGGGTCGGGGTGCCAGGCGGGGCTCTGGGCCGTCTGTCCCCTGTGGTCCCCCGTCCAGCCTGGGCTTGAAGAATGGCAGCCTTGTGCAGAACACTCAGCGACCCCTCGGGCTGCTGTGACAGATCTGTCCATCAGCCAGGCCCCTGACTGGGGGGAATTCGCATAATTTACCCAGAAGCAGAGGGGGGGGGCATCCAATGAAGGGAGCCCGCCCCGGAGCTGATGAGCCTCTGGGACCTCAGCTTCTCCAGAGGATGGGTGAATGCATAGGGTGATCTGGGAGACAAGGTTCTCTGCCCCAGCCATAGAGCAGGACTGGGGTACCAGGAGCTCCCCGTTCTGCAGACAGCACTAGGAAACCCTCAGCATGGGAAAGGTTTCATTCAAGGTCACCCTGGGAGGGTGAGGGCAAATCATCGCTCAGACTCCTGAAGCCTTCTGTGCCGTGTGTGTGTGTGTGTGTGTGTGTGTGTGTGTGTGTGTGTGTGTTCTGAGACAGGGTGTGCATCTGGTTCTTCTCTGTGAATTTTGGGATTCCCCCTCACCCCCCATCAGAAGAGTCTCATGCCAAACTAGCATGTATTTGTGCTCCACATCGAATGTAGTTTAAAAAGAATTCTCTAGTGCTTCAATATATGTTTTATGTCAAGTATGAATGATCTGATCTGAGAGCTGAAGATCACAGTTCAAAGCCAGCCTGGACAGAAAAGTCCCTGAGATTCCCCCCCTTTTTTTTTTGGTCTGGTCCTGGGGTTTGAGCCTCTTTGGGTCAAGGCTATATCTCTCTACTGCTTGAGCCACAGCATCATGTCCGGCTTTCTCTGAGTAGTTGATTGGAGCTAAGAGTCTCCCAGGCTTTCCTGCATGGCGGCTGGCCTCGAACTTCGATCCTCAGATTGCAGCCTCCTGAGTAGCTAGGAAGACAGGCCTGAGCCCTGGCACCCAGCTCAATGAGACTCCCATCTCCAATTAACACCACGCACACACACACAACCACACACACACACACACGCAGAGTAGGTAGCAGTGGCACTGTGGCTCAAGTGGTAGAGCGCTCACCTTGAGCTGAAGAGCTGAGGGACAGCGCCCAGGCCCAGAGTTCAAGCCCCATGACCGACAACATTGAAAAAGACGCTGGAAATGGAACTTGTGGCTCAGGTGGTAGAGTGTCAGCCTTGAGCTCAAAAGCTTGAGGACGGTGCCCAGGCCCCCTGTTCGAGCCCTGAAATAAAAAGACAGATGGACGCATACACACGGGTGTGATCATAGAGCCAGAGATGGGCATCAGTGGCAATATCTGTGAAGAGACAGTTCCGCTCGCTAGAGGAGCTTCCCCGCCTCAGTTTCCCATAGACCTTTCTATCCACTAGGTCTGTTGCTCTCTTCCTTTGATCATATATTGTTGGTGGGGGGGGGGCAGTCTGTATGGTTTGGGGCCTGTCAGCAATCCGTGGTCAGGTCTTCAAGGGCTGGTTCATGTCAGGGTGGGGGAGAAGACCCAGAAATGGTGAAACCCATCCTCTCGTGAACCTTAGCTTGCGGGGATGGGAGGAGGGTCCAGAGACAAACTAGAACAGGGATCAAGCAGAGATCAGGCTGAGGCCTGTTTCTAGTCCCCCCCTCCCCATGCTTTTCCCAGGGGGCACCCTCCCTGCATAGGGGAGGGGGAACTCCAGGGTCCACTCCAGTAGAAGCCTCCCTGGCAGTGCCTCGATTTTAGGTTTTACACGGCCATTCACCCCCTTTTCACTTCACCAGAGGAAACTGAGGCTTGAGAGGCAGGCTGACCAGCTGAAGAATTGAAACTGACAGCAGGCCCAGTCTTCTGCCAGGAAACTGGCCTCTGGGGCCTCCCGCACAGAAATGATTAGGTCGTGTAGGGGTGAGCTGTCTGGTTGAAACCAGTGAGTCTCCACTAGAGGCTCTGCAAACCCTGGGTTGGCAGAGCCTCCAGTGCTCCCCTGAACTTCACAGCCCACCTTGAGAAGTGACTTCCTGCCATCCTCAGACCCCTTAAAAAGTGGTGTGCCTATAAGGACAGACCCAGGCTCCCGCCTAGAGAAACAGAGGAAAGGCCCTGGTCCTTTCTTTCTTTAACTCTTTTGCTCAAGGCTAGCACGCCACCCTTTGGAGCCACAGCTCCACTTCTGGCTCAGGCTGGCTTTTGAACTGTGATCCTCAGCTCTCAGCCTCCTGAATAGGCTTGAACCATGGGTGCCTGGCTGGAAACAGCATTCTTTTCTTTCCTTTTTTGTTTTTGGTCAGTCTTGGGGTTTGAACTCTGGGCCTGGGCGCTGTCCCTCAGCTCTTCAGCTCAAGGCGAGCGCTCTACCACTTGAGCCACAGCGCCACTTTCGGCTTTTTCTCCTGTGGTGCTGAGGGATTGAACCCAGGGCCTCATGCATGTGAGGCAAGCGCTCTACCACTGATCCACCTTCCCAGCCTGGGCCCTGGTCCTTTCTTTCTCCCAGGGCCTGGGTATCCCCCCCACCACCTCCCCAGCACGCACACATCCCCACTGCTGGCAGAAGTCTGTGTGTGTGAACACTGCTGCCTTCCAAGTCTGCTTGGAATCCGTCACTCTCCCTTGAAACCTGTGACTCCGGCCTGCCAGCAGCTGAAGGTCGAGCTCTCCCTCTCATACACACACACACATGCGTGTGCACAAACACACAGGGTGCACCTGCTTGGTGTGTGGGGTGGAGGTGGATGGAGGGGAGATGCGATCCCTGGGGGGGGGGGGAAGCGCTGAGCTGCAGCGAGGAGGCCTCTCCCACCATTGCCCCCCAGGACGTGGTAGGGCAGAGTGGGGGCCCGCGCGTGCGCGCGCGCGGGGCGGGGGGGCGGGGCCGACGGGGGGCGGGGCCGAGGGGCGCGCGGCGGCGGCGGCGTGCGCGCGGGGGCGTGCGCGCGTGCGCGCGGCGGGGGCGGGGCGCGTCGTGCGCGCGCGGCGGGGGCGGCCCGGGCCCAGGGGCGGGCGCGAGGGAGCAGCGCGAAGGCGCGAGCGCGCGGGCGAGGGGAGGCGGCGCCGGGCGTCTGGCGGCCGCCGCCGCCGCCGCCGCCGCCGCCGCCACAGACGCGCGTGTGTCGGGCGGCCGGGAGCGCAGAGCGCGCGGAGCCGGCGCGGCGGGCACGTGGCCTGGCGCAGCCCCGCGGAGGCGCGGCGGCCGGGGCGGCCCGGACTCGCAGGCAGGCAGGCCCGGGTGCGGGGGAGCGCGGAGGCTTTGACGGAGGAGCAGCCGAGGCCGCGCTCAGCCGCGCTCGCCCGCCCGCCCCGCCGCGCTGCCAACATGGCGCTGCCGGCTCGGACCCGCGGCTCCTGTCGGAGTCGCCCGGCGGAGATGGCGCGGCCCCGGCCGGCCGGCCCGGACTGCGGGCCCGCGCGTCCGCCCTGGCGGCCTCGGCCGCTGCTGCTGCTGCTGCTGCCGCTGCCGCTGCTCGCCGCGCCGGGAGCCGCAGCCTACAGCTTCCCCCAGCAGCACACGTGAGTAGCCGCCCCCCCCCCCGCACCCCGCGACCCCGCACCCCGCGATCCCGACCTGCGCATCCCCCCGCGGGCCGGCCCCGGGGAGGGAGGGTGGGGGGGGAGGATGGCGACCCGAGGGGAGGGGAGGGGGGAGGCCGACGGGGGAGGGTCCCGCCGCTTTCGGCTGCGTGGAGAAACTTCCCCGCCGGGCCCACCCCTTGGGTCAGAGCCTCCCCCCCCCGGGCCTGGATGGGATGGGGCGCCGAGTCTGCGGGCTGATCCCGCACCCCCAGCCCTATAGCGGCCCATGTCCCCGGGTGTGGGGGGGGAAAGGGGGAGATGCAGGGTTGGGTGAGGAAGCGGGGGGCATCGCAGAGCCCCTGGCCTGGAGTGATGGAGCCACACAGCCGGGCATCCGCACCCCCTTCCTCTCCCCGGTTGGGAACCTGGTGGCTTTAGTCAGAGGTGGCACACCTGCCCTCTCGGGTCTTTTCCTTTTTTTTCATGGGGGGCGGTGTTGGATGCAAAAGATAGGGCCCCCCCCCCCCTGCTGCGTGAGCCCTTGTCCTCTGTGCTCGGTCACCCTCTCACCTGAGGAGGGTCCCAGAAGAGCCCAGGAAGGAGGTGAGGCCGCTGGGGGGGGGGGGTCAGAGCAGAAGGTGAATATCTGGGAGGAATGATTCCCCCCCCACACCCGGCCTGTCCCCCCCCAGCTGTCAACAGTTCTCACAGGGTGATCACATTGGCCAGCTGTGCCAGCTTCTGCTGGTGCTCCCGGTCCATCCGGTCTCCTCGTCCTCCCCAAGAGCCCGCAAAGTCGCCCAGATGCATCTAGGCTGGAAGTGGGGACTCAGTCCATGTCGCCTTTAGGACTTCATCCGTTCCCCCCATCGCACGCATGTCGATGCTCAGACACCCCTCTGGGGGAACGTTGACGGCCTTGCTTGTTTTCTATCCCTGGCTCTGAGGAGTCTCGGGACTCCTTCACCCAGCCTGGCCTAGGGTTTTGGTGAATGGGGAGTCAAGGCTGGTTGTTGCCAAGGGGAAGGCTCTGGCCTTGGAGAAGGGGAGAGATGGGGTTCTGCGTCATTAGAGCGGTGCTCCCCTTGGGTGGGAGCCCCTGGATCTGCCAAGGGAACTGGAAATGGGAACCTGCCGGCTCCTGGTTATAGATTCTCCCAGATGAGGAACAAACTCAGGAGAGGCACTGCTCTGAGTCTTATATGTGTGTGTGTGTGTGTGAGTGTGATCATCTTTCTCCTTGTACAGCCTGACAGTGCTCAGGCGAGTGATCACTTGGCAAATTGCAGGTGCTGCACAGACGTGTCCTCTGTCAACTGTCTGGATTTTTTGGGGGGAAAGGGGGGGAGCAGCTAGAAGAGAACTGTATGGAGTTCGGGGCTAGTGTCTTATTGTCCTTCATTTGCTACGACGAATATGTATTTAAGTCACCGTGTCTAAAAAGAATGAAAGCATTTGTGTGTGTGTGTGTGTATATAATGTGTGTATGTATTGTTCTTTTTTTCCTTAAAGCTAAGTACGAGCCTAGCCACAATTTTTTTTTTCTCCTTCACCGTTTCATGGCTCCTTTGGGGAAGGTTTCAGTAGTCATTCCTTTCCACCTCTTTCCTACTCTTTCCTCCCCCTTTCCTGTAGCCCACAGTAGCTGCTGGGCCTGTGTGGGTCTCCCTTAGGAGGTCTGTGTGAACCCCAGGCCAGAGTGGACACCTGTCCTTCTGTCTCCAGCCAGAAGGCTGGTGAGGCGGGTGTGACCACAGCCGCACACTTCCAGCCAGACGCTCTGCCCTCATCTGTAACGGAGTTGGAGCTAATTCAAGGGTTGGGAACGTGTCTGCCAAACCATGATTAGGGAACGAGATGGGGGGGGAGTAGGGCAGGGGCTGTGAAGCTATGAGGGTCTGGGGGGGGTGGCGAATGGGGTGACATGGCAGATGGTTCACTGTGACAGCCAGCCCCCTTCAGCTGCCCTGGTCCCACCAGTGCAGGTGGTTTTCTAAGGTAGACAGTGCAACTGTACATCTCGAGGCATCGGGGTGGCAGGCAGTCCCCAAGGGGAAAGAGGAGGACAAGACCCCTTTGAGGATCGAGTCATGGCCTCATGACCGTCAGCCAGTGGGGAGGGCTCCTGGCTCCTCAAGCGGCTGGGTTTTAAGCAAGTGCAGGCTTGGGCAGCTGTGATTTCTGAAATCCCTGTGGCAATGGGGCTGGCTCCCAGAGACCCAGGCTCCCCTCAGATTCTGAAGGACAGAGGACTCGTGCTTCAGTTTTAAGGCCAGGGGCTGGGATGGGGACGGGGGTGGGGGGGGTGGGGGTGGGGAGGGAAGACTCCCTTTTCCTTTCTGGACTCGGGGCAGGGTTTCAGACAAGGGGGAGGCCATACGTGTGTCTCTTGCACGCATGTGTGCACGCACACTCATGTGTCTGGGGGTAGGCTCAGAACAGACTGGCTCTCACGTTTCAGTGATGCCCACCTTAGCGATTGGGTCCGTGCTGCGGGCGGAGATGGCCCCCCTGGCTTTCCACCTGAGTCTTTTCCTCCTTTTTTCCTGTCTCCCCTTCTGTGGGTCTCTTCATCTTCGTACACACATATGTACTTGTGTATTTATGTGCACGTAGAGACATCTGTATGTCTTTATTTGTGTACATGTGTGTATATGTGTATATATGTAGGTGTGTGGCCACATCTTTTACCCCCACATCGATCTGTGCCCAGCCTGGCCCTCCTGTCTCTTTTGTTCTCTGCATTGGGTCTCTGAGCTCTGTCCTGTGAGCACTGGCTGAGCACTGGGCGGAGCTGCCTACCTGGCCACCTACCCTCTTAGGCCAGTTTTGTACCACAAGGGGCCCCTCACTCCCCCCCCCCCCGGTCAGGTATGGAGAAGGGAGCAGCGTATGCGTGTGTCTTGCTCCTGAATGGCCACCCCTGGCACAGGCCCATTGCGGGGCACCTGTCAATCAGGCTGTGGTGAATGGTGAATGACAGGACACTGAGCTCTTTCTGCATCCTCCGTCTCCCCCGTCGCAGGGAGGCAACCTTGTACATGTGGGTCCCCCCATCTTTCCCACAATCTGCAGCTTTAGCTGGGTGTGTATGTCGGGGGAGAACAGCACTACTGGGTACTCACAAGCCTCCAGTGGTGGGAATGGGAGGAAAGGCCCTTTGGCTGATTGTCCCCGCTTTGGACTTTGCCTTCACTGGACACCTTATCGTGGCTGGCTATGTCAAGCCCTGGAAAGGGAGTGGGGAGGGGCTCATTTTAAGACTTGGAGAGCAAGTCTCCCTCCAGATCTTCTGGTTGTAGATGAGATCCCCAAGGAGAGACTGGTCCCAGAGTGAAGCCCCCCTCCCCCCTTCCCTTCTTCCCTCCGCTTGCATGCATGCATGCGGGGTGGCGCTGGTGTGTACGGTAGACGCTGTCCCTCCTGGGAGGAGGAGCTTTAGAGACGTCTTGGGTGTTAGGTGTGAGTCCTGCACGGTTATATCCAGAGTGACCCTCTCCATTGGGACAGCTTTGCCTCAGTTTCCCCAACAGACAGAGAGGAGAGAATCACTGGGGGAGGGCGGCCTCTGGGAGGCAGGGGTGGCAAGGGAGGGCACGTGAGCATCCACAAGCCCAGATGCCACAGCCTCGGCCCCTCACTGCCAGTCTCCCCAAGCCCCTCCCCCGCCCCCGCGGGGCTGTTCTTTGCTCCTTCTGTTCTGTTACCGCAGCGTGCTTTTCTCCTCTAACCAAGGCCTCTCCACCCCAGCTGTGGGCCCGCCACCCGCTCAGCCTATTCTCATCTACCCTGGAGGAGGCCAGCCCTGGGAGGACCGGCTCCCACCCTCCCGCAGCCCAGCTGCAAGGTGGAGGAAGGTGCAGGGCTAACAATGGCTTCCCTCCTGCCCCCCCCCCCGCTCTTTCTTGTCCTGGGGCTTGAACTTAGGGCATGGACACTGTCCTTGAGCTTTTGTAGTCAAGGCTAGTGACCTACCACATGAGCCACAGCTCCATGTCTGGCTTTGGGTGGGTTTGTGGGAGATGAGTCTCGTGGACTTTCCCCCCAGGGCTGACTTGGGACTGTATGAGAACCTCAGATCCCAGTCTCCTGAACGCCAGGATGGCAGATCTGAGCTGCTGGGGCCTGACTTGTCTTCCATTTCTAAGCCCAGACCAGGCACTCACCTGCGCTACCTCAGAAGCCCTGGCTGTGCCCAGGCCTCTAACAGGCAGGGAGACTGCAACTCGGGAAAATGGAAAGTGCCAAAAGCCCATCGCTACTGGAGGAAGGCTCTGTCTGTTAAGATGTGGAGCGGCCCTGCCAGGGGCCAAGGGGGCCCAGGAAGAAGGGGACGGGAGAGGCTAGAAATCCGAGTCTTTGGGAAGAAGAAGAGGCTGGATATGTGGGAGGTGGGTGAAGGCCCCCAGGCTGTAAGCTTTCCTCCTTGGGTCTCAGAGGAGGATCCCCATACTGATGCCAGGGCCGTCGGCAGGATGTGGGGTGCTGGTGGAGGGACTTAAGTTCTCTGGATTCTGCTCTGATGCTAGAAAGAAAGGTGACGAGGAGGAGAGCTAGGGGGGTTTTATTATTGGAACCCAGAAGCTGGATCTTCTCAGCTCCTTTTTTTTTTTTTTTTTTTTTTTGCCAGGCCTAGGGCCTTTAGAGGAGTCAGACCTTCTAGGTGCCAGATCGGTTCCCGCTGTGTGGACAAGATGGGTGGGGCAGGCGGACCAGGGGACCGGGGTTCTCAAGAGCTTATTCTTCGGAGGGGGGGGCCTGGAAATACATAGGTAGGCCTAGTCTCTTGTCTGTCAGAATAGAGTTGCCTCTTCCCTCTTCCCCTTCCTCCCCCAGCCCCAGCTCCAGCCCCACCCTGCAGATTTCCCGATGAGCCTGGGAACCCACAACCTGTGTCTGACAGTGATCGGGGGATCCCAGACACGAGGAGGGGCGCTGGAGCCTGAGGCAGAGATGGGGGAGTAGGGGCTTTCCCTCTGCTGACTTCAGCTATCCAG